AGTTAAGATGTGCAGTTCTTTTATAAACTGGCCATATAAAGTCAGCATGCAGGAGATTGTTTTTCTTCTTGTGTTCAATATTGCTTTTAGAAGGGTTTTTTTAAAAATTGTTTTTGTTTTTTAGTAGGATTAGAAATCTTAAGGTGGTGGGAATAGGCGGAAAATGCTGCATCCTAGGCAAAACTGAACATGCACGCCTCCGTACATTTGTTCAAACACCAATGTCAGCAGCCTCCCAGGTAGCAGTCCTCAACCTGTCTAAGAAGGGTGACTTAAGACTCTGTTACTGTAGGGCCATAGTAACCTACTACTGAAGAATACTTTCTGGACTAATTCATGGTCCAAAATCTATGTAATATGATGTGTTGTAAAATAAGCACGAATGGCATTAGAACATATGAAAAAGGAAGGCTATTGATCAGCAGACTAACCAAGACTTCCTCTACAAAGTGGATCCAGCTCATTTACAGGTTACACATCCTGACCCAGATACGTTCATTTGTAAACTGTTCCCCAACATGAAAGCCTTCTTCCCAATTTTTGCCAAGTAAAATAGCAGCCCAAGAACCAGGGATGCCTGCTTCTACTTGAGGTTTGAAAAAAACCAGCAGCAGAAGCATATTACTAATAGAAAACTGACAGATGCTTATCATTATATAGATTTTATTCTGTGTTTGAGTATCATAAACTGAATTGCATCTACTAGCATTTGAAAAGTATTTAAGACCACTTATGACTTCAGCCAGCCACTTCCTCCAGCTGGGTGAAGCTCAAATGAACTGTAACATGTACCAGTCCAGAATCATCCGTGTAACTGTTTTTATGCTTTAAATCATGTTTTTCTCTGTTTCAAATGGTGAGTAAATTGTCACCGAACAATTTTTGCTTTAATGAAAAATAAGGGGGTTTTGTGGGTTCTTGTCTAGGATGGTTCACAGTGGACTTGATCCAAACATCCTTGAAGTTGATGGATGTTAATGAATTTGGGAGCGCAGGCTGAAAAAATAGTAGTCACTATGTGTCCTGACAGTGATTTCTCCTTTGCTGGTGGTAATAAACTTAATTCTGGTCCCCGTATGAGCTGACAAAAACATATCCGGAAGCTGATGAGAATAAGCAGGGGTTGTTTCATGAAGCAGGCAATTTCATGAAACCAAACAAGCCAATGACGTGTGGTTATGCTACTCACCACATTCTGTTTCACAAAAGACTTTTTTCTTTACAAAAAGAAAGTAATTTTTACACAAGGCTACATAAAATCACTGCCGGTGTATGTGCAACGCTGGGGGGGTATGGTTTTTTGGTTAAAAAAATTCCAATTTATTGAAGCTGGTGCTGCCTACAGGAAAAGGCAGTTCCTGGCAGATAATAAGCCTGATTATCTCCCAAGAGTGTTTTCTTTTTCTTTAAAGTTTCAAATCAAGTCTTTTTGAGCTTCAGAGCAACTTTTCGTGTCTGTTGGTGTGCTAAATATTTACCGTGTCTTGCCATTTAGGAGGAGATGTTGAACAGCTTTCATTTGGACACTGCTTCCATATTGGCAGTGATGTGTGTGTCACAGTTTGGGGTGACCCTGTTGTAAATGTTTTGGCCTGGGATGGGTAGCAAGTTGCAGCTACTTACAGGAAGCTGATGTTGCTTACCTCTAATACTATTCAACTGATCGTACTCTAAAACATCCTCATTCTGTATTTGATTTTAGATAGCAAGCAAAAGGGGAGTTCAATGTGAATTTTTTCAGAAAAGGTTTTCATTCTCAACACTTTTCCTTCGCCTGCAACTTCTCCTCTTCCTTCCCCACTCTTCCCCTGGCTGGGGTAACAATGGCATTACTACATGCCATTCAGTTGGTGCCGGCAGCCTGTTGGATATTAGGGTATACCTTTGTACACTTATAGCCAGCTCTTCATAATAGAAGCAAATCAAAACCTTTTATGGTAAATGCCTTCTGTTAAAACAACTATTTGTGAAAATAGACTTATCCGAAAGAAGTGCACCTTTCACTGAACAGCCAGATGGCTACCTCCAGGTTTTCATTTTTCCCAAGCACAGAAACTTGGGAAGGCAAGCTCTCTTCCATTAGTAATTCTGGTCAGACAAACCTTTTGTCACCTCTTCTATTTATTATACTAATTGCAAAAGAAGCCAAAATTGGTGTGCCTCGAAGCCTATATTAATTTATTTTGCATTTCTTATGCTGTGTTCTCCAAAGTCAGCAAAGCTTTTCTGAAAAGTGCTGGTCAGAATTTGGAAATAAGTAACGCTATCCAAAGCCTTCAAGAAAAAGGAATATTCCTCCCACATGCTTAGGTAGAATGAAAATCATTAAGGCTAAAACAGAGTTCTGTACAGACCCCAGACTGAATACAAAGAAAGAGTGAATAATCTTTGGTTTCCTCTGCAAGCCACGTCCAGCCCTCGCCCCCAATTATGCAGCAAAAAATGTTCCCTTCCCTTCTCCCTCCCTGCTGCGCTCTACCCCCAAATACCTCATCTCCTTTGTAGCCAGAGAGACAGGGCACGTTTTGCATCATCTTCTAAAATCAAGCAAAAAGCATCCCCTTGAAAAGTTTCAAGCTTTCTACCTGCCACCCCCAAAGTTCAAAAGATCTTGCAAGGCTAGAGATGTGGTAAATTGTGTCTCTGCCTCAGATTTAACTAGACACCCCTTTACCTAGCCCTCTTGCTAGTTTTTGTCGTACATGGTCTCAACAGAGGGCTTGGTCTAGACTCCTTTAGCATGTATTAAGGCAGCTGCCTGCAATCCAGTACCATAATAGTGGAGTTTTACTGTTGGATGAAACTATAGCACCGCAGCTAAATAAGCGGACGTGCCATTCCCTAAATCCTACATCTGCCTGTCTATCCTTTTCTCCCTTTTTCCCTAGTGCCAGCACAGGCTTTTTTTTTTGCTTTTTTTTTTTTGCTGTTACTTTGCGAACTGGGCTAAAGAATTCATTTTAATCCTGGTTGCTCCCCCAGCCCTGTTTGCTGCACAGGCATTTGTGCTGGGGTGAGGGAGGGAGGGAGGGAGCGCTGCTGGGGCTGCATCCAGAAGCTCCGCACCAGTGCCGGGAGTGTGGGGGGGCTCAGCCCCTTTTGGCAGTGGTGTCAGCCCCTGTCTTTCAAGTATTCATGGCACCAGCAGCGTGGAGTACAGAGTTTCCCTTATTTGTCGCTTCTCTGGGGAAATTATTAAATCAGTCTCTTGGTGTAGAAGAAAATAATGAGCTAATCCGGAGTCGAGGTGCTATTTCATTGTTTCGGACCTGGCTCCTCTCTTAAGCTCCTAACTTTTCTGCATGCAGATGTTATCCAATTAGTTTGGAGGCAGAAGTAGAGTTTCTAGACTTGATTTTTTTTCCTGCGAGGCCAAATGCCTGGAAGCTAGGGAGGGAAATGGATGGCACTGGAATAATAACCACCTTCCCCAAGTTTGAGCAAAGCAGTTAAGACCCATCTTTTTTTCAGTGTTTTCACAAATTCTGCCAAGCTGTACAAAAGGTGTTGGGGGAGGAGGGGGTGTTGGGGTTTTTTTCTTTATTCCTTGATATGCCCAGGCTTTTTTCTCAACCACTAAACAAAGAAAGCAAGCAGAGAAGACGATGCTTTGGTTTGTAGTTCTGTGATTAAAAATGTCTGTTCCTAAAACCTTTCACAACAGCCTCTTCTGATTTGTAATGATTTTTTTTTTTTTTCTCCTTCTCTCCCTGCCCTGAACTCCCCATCCAAAATGAAGTCTCAGCCTTATGAGATCAGAGTTCTGCTTGCTAATCAGGATTTAGAGCAGTGTAATCCAGTTGCCATGTTTTAAGGAAGATTTATCTGGTGATTCCTTAATAGAAATTTTATTTTCCTAGCTACTTTTCATGTAACGATGACCAGTAAATGTAATTTGACCTACGAAGCCATTCCCCTTCCTTTCCCGTGGATGCCTACAGCATCCTTCAGGAGAGGTGCCGGTACAAAGATCTTCTGCTTCTGCAGCTGAAACACATTTCCGCGATCAATAATGCAGGGCTCCAAGTCATCTGTGTATAGCTGTAGAGTTACTCATCCAGCAGTAATTTCACAGATGCCTCTCGTGGAAAACTCAGCCATGTACTTGTGGGGGGAACGGGAGTTTAAACCAGTTCAAATTCAGTCTGGCTTCACTGGTGTGGACACCTGGGCACTGACACGTGTCCTTCTCCATTTGCAGCACGGTTACTGCTCCCAAACCTGAACACCAGCAAAATCATAGCTCCTCCATCTTCTAGGAGTTTACAGACTAAACGTTTCGACATCATTGTTAATCTGTGCTCCGTGAGTTGTTCTTTCAAAGATTTTTGCCTCAAGGGAAAATAAGGAGTAGCTGTCATTTGAAATTTACTCAGGTTTGGCGAAATGATGGCATTTGTCACTTCTGTTCTCCATCTTGTTCAAATTGGCCCTAGCATGTGCCAAACTGGATATTGTGTTGACTTACTTCTTCTCCCTCTTTGTTCTTCTAGAGAACGCCGTGTAATTAATGTAGTCTAAAAATGTAGTGTGGCATAAACCTTTTCTTTTTCTTTGTGTAGTTTTCAAACAAGGAGGCTGTCAAGAGCCTTATGCGCATCGTGTTTCAAAAACAGTTTGGTAAAGCAAAATCACTAGGAGATATTGGGTTGACCAGGTTTTTTTAGGGCTGGATCTAAAATAATTGGCACACTTGCTGTATGCTGCTGTGCGTTTCATGTTGTTGACCTCGTCTCCCTGAAGTCTGAATAACTGTCGTGTCAGTGACGGTGACGTGTCTGAGCAGTCTGAGGGAGTCCTGCAATTATTTTAATATTTTGTGTAACACTGGTGGAATTTAATAATTAGTTGTGAAGGTTCAAATCCAATTACCTTCTTCCCTAAAACAGGAAAAATGGTGGAAGTTTGGTGATAAATGCTAGCAGAGTGAGAAAGAAGTGTAACATAATTTGTGGTGTTCCAGTCACTAATTTTTTTCTTTCCCTTTCTCTCTTATTTTACAGGGCATGTTTTCGAGCCATTTTTGAGGAAATGTGGTGAATGTAAACTTGCTCTGTTTGGGGGGGACATTCTGGTAAGTGGTGCTGTCTTGATCAATTTTGATTTTCAATAAGAATTTCAGAAAGATTGTTTTAGCCTTTTTCAGTTTTAATTTTTTTAGCTGACGGGAAATACAGAGACACAGGTTATATGTGGTTTTCTTCCTCTGGTATGGAGACTCGCAGTATGAGAAGCATTGACAGAAAACAGCATGCTGGGCCTCGAGGCGAGTAATGTAGTTTCATTTGCTCCAGTGGCATCTGCTTATTGTGTTTGTAGCTGTTATATTCTGCTGAAGAGTGGCTGAGCTAAAACGTAGAGTAGAAGAAACACAAAGGCCTAATTTAAAAACAAGGGGAACAAAAAAGCAGGCTAGTGGTATAAAAAATTGGGAGCAAAAATAAGGTAGAGGGAGCACGTACCGCCCGAAGTGGTGGGGACATCCAGTCACTCTGAAATCTTTCCATCCATTCCCAGAACATCTGACTGGCACACTTGCCTCCAGCCACCACATGAAGTTAGGATGATTTGCTTATGTCTGGGAGATAAGGAGATAGATAGTGCTCCTGTGTGCTATACCAGTTTTCCTATGCCTCCTTTCCATGTGACAAGCTTTGCTGCTCCTCTGGCTGTTCTGTATGCAACACTTCCAGAGGCACCAGCTTCCTACAGGCTTCTGGTCCCACAGGCGCTATGGGAATATGGCATGTCATGTGTGACGTATCTGTGCTGCTGAGCTGCGCCGCTGCGAGGAGAAGGAGGCAGAGAAGAATGGGAGGTAATTAGTGACATGCCCCAACTAGAGGGAAGTAATCCTGAGAAAACTCTTCCAACCTGCAAAAAAAAGCAGCAGATCTGGAGCAGTTTGTAGACTCATCTTGTTTTTCCATCTAGGACGCTGTCAATATATGCAGTTTTGGCTGGTACCTATCAATCACCATCACCCTTGGGGAAACAAATGCCAGCAGAAGATTGTGTCCCTTCATTCCCTTGGCTGAGCAGGGTATTGGACTGGTATTTTTTCTTCAGCCAGCATGTGCAGATTGCAGATGAAAATTGACTTATTGTCCACTGGCAGAAGACTTCAGAGTCGGATAGCCTGCAGGGTAGAAAACTGAAAATCAAAGACTGGGGGTCTGTGAGAACACTTGTTCTTTTCTGCCATTTAAAAAAACCAGATGTTGTTACATCATACAGAAAGATCTGGATAAGCTAGCAGATGTTTAAATGTAGATCGTTTATCCTTCTGCAGAAGGTATAGTCTAAAAGATGAGATAACCAAGATCAGAATTTTACAAAGTTGGCCAAACGCACAAAAAGTCCTGTACAACGGTACCTGGGTAAACCCTACTGCAGCTCATTCTTTTAAGCAATTTTCTGTCTACAGTTTGGCTTTTCTGACAATTGTGCATGTTGTAAGCTTGCACCTATATCCGTATACTGGGAAATATGAACAACAATTATTTAACTACACCAAACTACTGTGGCCAAAGATGAGCCACAGACCAGCAGCATGAGCTCATTAGTCTATGAGATTTTGTGCTGACTTCTGTTACTGCACGAGAGAATGGGATCTGTATGTAGTTTACTTTTTGGTGGTAGCAATGATACTTTGATCCTAAAAGTTGCCCAGTGTCCTTATGGATTGGCTGATCTTTGTGTGGGGTGTGACAAAGTTACAGTGCTCACAGGTCAAAGTGTAGAGTCATAATTCAGAAATTGTAACCTTGTAACACCAAGGAAAAAAAGTTTATCAGCAGACGTGGTAGTCAGATTGTTGTGTTTTAATTTCCCTTCAAAGATGCATCAGCTGAGACCAGCCTAGTCTCCATGGCTGGCCTTGATAAAAGAGCATAGTTCAAGAGCAGCAAGAGGAACGAGACAGAAGCAGCAAGTTTCTTAGAACCATAGAATAATTTTGGTTGGAAGAAACTTCCAGATGTCATCTTGTCCAAACCCCCACTTGAAAAAGGTCCTATTAGGTCAGGTTGCTCAGGGCCTTTATTTTCAAAATTCAACTGGATGCCAATGATGGAAACTCTACAGCCTCTCTGGGCACCTGTTCCCATGTCTGACCATCTTCAGAGTGAAAAAGTGCTGCTTTGTTGCTTCTCGTTGTTGTTGCTCGCTGTCGATCAGCACAGACTTGGCATCTTCTCTGCCTGCGAGAGAGGAGTCTTGGAGAAGACCCCAAAATCAGGGAAGCTGCTTCTTGTGGCTCAAAGGAAATGTGGTGTCACACAGATGCAGTAAACTTGTTAGTGGGGGGGTGGGGAAACCCGCAATCTGGTTCACTTGGGGAATGTTTCTCAACCTATGGTTCGTGTTCAGACTTGGAGACCATGGCTGCTTGACTTGGTTGAATCTCGAAACCTGGGAGAAGGTTAGCTGACAAACTGATGCTCCTGAAAACTACCTGTTTTCCTGACTTGCTTAGAGATATAAGCCAATGAAAAGAGACACTTCTCACTGCTGGATTGTAGACATCTGGGAACTTCTTCAAGCCAGTCTGGAGCTGGTTTGCACCATTCCATGCTCCAGGATTTTGCCCCAGAATTTAATATTGTTTTCCTAGAGCCATTATAATATGTAAACAGACTCTGCAAATTTTGCTTGTTTTCACAGCTGTTCCTTCCCTTCTTCCCATTTCAAACTGTTTGCAAAATCTGATTTTGAGGTAGAATAATCAAGAACCTTGAGTTTCTCATCTGTAAGGTTCTCTGAAATATCTCTGACCCCACCATAGGTTTGCCTATGGCATTCCAAATTCCCAGAGAGTTTTAAAAATAATTACAAAACATGTAAGACAAGGAAACAGTTTTGCCCAGTCTCTGTCCCTAATCCACTGAATCCAAGAAGGACTGGACATCAAAAGAACGTTTTGAATTTATCTTGACATAGCAGCTGAGCTCAGAGGCTCAGCGGTTGTTTATTCATCTTGTATCAAAGTTCTAGAAAAGGTCATGCAGCCTCCAGATCAAAAATTCATAATGGATTTAGGAGCTGATTAGAGAAGTATCCTTGAATGCTGGGAGGGAAATCTTGGCCGAATTTAAAACTCCCTCAGCTAAGCTGATGATATCTTTCTGAGCAGTGTGAGAAGAGACCTCTTTTTATGAGATTTCTGTAAAGCAGCCCTGTGGATGTCGGAGCAGATATTGGCGTGGCACGACAGGTTTGACCTGTCTTGCACTGAGCACAGCATTCAGCAGGCAGTCATGGAATGTCCATCCCTCCACATCAAATACGTGACTGCAAGGAGTCCCAAGAAACATGGATGATATAGGACAGGAAAGCCTTGGGGTGACCTGTGTTTTATTTTTTCCCTAGTCAGACTGCTCTTTGCCAGTTCAGACTCCCCTTGAAACTCTTGCGTTTCATACGAGTTTTTTTACGTTTCTAAGCATGGCTTATGCTGTACAGTATGGTGTTCTGTCCCTGTCCATCTAGACCCTGTAGTTGGTTACAGCCATCAATATCAGAGGAGGATCAAGCTGTGAAGTGAATAGAGGGGCTGCTGTATCGTAAACCTGACCTGCATCTTCCTGCACCAGGTGTGCCACTGTATGCTCGTCCTCGTCCTATAGATTTCCTCTTCCCAGGAAAGCTGTGAATGCTTCAGACACAGGCCTTGAAGCTGAATGTATACCTTGGGGCCTGGAAGTCCACTGCTCTTTTCACTCTGAATTAGGCAGGGGTACCTCCCCAAGTTCGGCACTTTTTTATGTTTCAGCTGAAATCTGAGATGCTGTGCTTCTATCTGCACACTTCTCTGCAGATTAGAAGCAACTTCACATCTTAAACAATGGTTTCGGCTATTTCTAGTTGCTCCAATATATCATGGAAAATCTGGATTTCAGCTGCTAAGACGCTCAACTGGTATTTTGTTTTGGTTTTTTTTTCCCATTAAGGACAGTCAGGTTTTTCTTCTCTCTTTATTTTAAACAATTGGCAGGTAGTGTCTGCTTTGATTTTAAGAAATCATATCATATCAAATTTTCAGTATCTTTATGTATATTAAATTTGTTTGCCTTTAGAAAGATTGTGATGCCCTGTTTCTTCTCTCTTTATTTTAAACAAAAAAATTAGCAGGTAGTGTCTGCTTTGATTTTAAGAAATCATATAAAAACAAATTTTCAGTATCTTTATGTATATTAAATTTGTTTGCCTTTAGAAAGATTGTGATGCCCTGTGCGTTCCTGGGTGTCCAGTTTGTATGATACAATTATTTACATCCTTGATGTCTACCAAAAATGCTATTGAATTTCTCTTGGTGATTCTTCGCACTTGTCAGGTTTCTGACATAAAGTATTATAGAGCAACTAGGTATTATCTGCAAAGAGTTTGGAATATGCAAAAATAACCCGCTGTAACTTTTGCTTTATTACCTGTATTCTGCCATGCCCACAAGAGGCTTTGCCAGAATCATTAGCTGTTCTCTGTAATTAGGGCTGACCTGGTGCATTTTGGTCCTATTTCTAGTAGCTTTTCATTTTCCAGAGTCATTAATTTGGGCACTGATGCGCCTCATGATGTGCTTCTGTTGTGTATCTTCATTATCTTTTCCTATGGGCTGAAGATTATCATGTATCCTTAGGAAGGAAAGTGTGTGGAAATGCTTGAGCATTTTAAAATATCTCGGGGTTTACCAAGATTTGCTATGCTATGCTTGTAATTCCTTCAATTTTGGTCTGTTTCATAGAATCATAGAATCATGGGTTTGGGTTGGAAGGGACCTTAAAGATCATCTAGTTTCAACCCCCCTGCTATGGGAGGGACACCTTCCACTAGACCAGGTTTCTTTGCTTCCAGTCTAGTCTGTGTGAAAGATGTGCATGTTGGTGCCGCTGGGTGTGGTAAATGTTAAATCTGGTCCATAAGATTTCTAAGGAATGTGGCTTGTCCCCTGCCCAGAACCGTATGTCTCCAGTCCCAACCAGGTTGGATTTAGTCTGCTCTCTTAAGAGGTGTGAAGCACTGTTATACTTGTGTTCAGTTTATTAAATCAGATAACCCTACACAGGGAGGTTACGT